AGGACTACTTGATTTTTCTCTCAACGGTCCTGCCGCGATGGCTAGAGCACAGACGATTAGAGAACGGGGACTGAGCCTTGGGAAGGAGAGGGACCCGTGAGAGAGCGCAGAGGCGGTTTAAAGGGCTGAGTTCAAGTAGTCCGTCGACCAGGGTGAATAACGGTCGAGGAAATCCTCGACCATAGCTCTCTACCATGCGAGAGTAGTGCCGAGAGTGAACATCCGCGCGGAGAGCACAGACGGCACGGCATGGCGAGTGTGAATGTCCGCGCGAGAGATCGTCTCTGATCGGGCAGAGAATCCTCGACGTGCCGTTGAGGAATCCTCAAGCGATATTCACCCTGGTCGACGGACTACTTGAACTCAGCCCTTTAAACCGCCTCTGCGCTCTCTCGCGGGTCCCTCTCCTCTCCAAGGCTTAGTCCCCGTTCTCTAATCGTCTGTGCTCTAGCCATCGCGGCAGGACCGTTGAGGAAAGAAGGCTGTGTCGTAGGACCTAGCATACCTCCCACCCGACATTCAGCTAGAGACCGCCCAAGGATTTCGTCACAGGACCCATCACTTTTGATCTGTGACGCGACCATGCGGAGACGGTTACTGCTGTCGACCCTCTGCGTCCCTACCGGCAGGGGATATATCCCCCTTGCCGAGACTGGGGCAGAGTCAACCCTGCGTTGCGCAGTTCTCAACGGCCACGTTGCGCAGTTTCGCCCGATTAGACACGTTCTCTCGCGCGAACATTCACACTCGCATGCTCGAGCCGTCTGTGTCTCCGCCCATACAGCGTGCGTTGAGGATCTCTCAACGTGCCGTTGCGAACTGCGCAACGCAGGGTTGACTCTGACTGGGGGATTCGTCCCTGACGATGGTGACGCGGAGAATCGACGGCAGTGACCGCTCCGCATGGTCGCGTTGTAGGACCCATTAGAAAATGATGGGTCCTGTGACGAAATCCTGCGGTTTCTAGCTGAATGTCGGGTGAGGGGATACGTCCCCGGGGTTGGGGATGTACCCCAAGGTTGGGGCCGTATCTCCAACCTTTGGGGCATATACCCATGATTGGGGATATGTCCCCGAAACGGGTGAGGGGATCCATCCTCTAGTTGAGCTGAGGGGATATGTCTTGGGGACAGGGATGAGGGGTTTCGTCCCCTAGTTGGGTGAGGAGATGGATCCCCATCCCCTCGTTGAAGCTTGCTGCACCCAGCCACAGAGATGAACAACAAAAATTGGTGCAATCAATCAAATAATTTTTTGCCATTCATGCAATATTGCGAGTTAGGCAGCGTTCATAGTTCGCAACCGGATACGCGATTAGGCGATTAGGTGAGGTTTCGGAAAGAAAGATTTACGTACTATATGCAGTATTCGGCCCTACCCGCCTAAGCACCTAGCCGATTGATACATCTTTTTATAGACTTGTCGCTCACTGGAGTACACGGATGAAGAAAAAACTATGAGGGACCCGGGAAGGGCACAATCCGAGAAATAGGATCCCTTCTTTGCCATTGTTCCGCGGATGGTACATAAATTCTAGTACCGTGGAAAGTCATCTCGCAATAACAGAGCACTTCTAATCATTCGCTACACCTTAATAATAAGAGTTTATCGAACCAAATTTTGAGGATTTCTTCTCTGAATCAAAACGTATAATTTCTGTATGTTCTTCTGATTTTGAGCCAGTCGACGATATTCAGAATTTTGAAGAACTCAACTAATTGTTGCAAACATCCCGGCATCGCTCCCAACATGCAATCCAATATCTCGTAAAATGGCCTAATTATATGTATAGGAACCAGATCTCATTTGCATCTAATTGAAGGGCGGCAACGAGATGTCGCTGTGCCAGATGTCGAGCCTAACAGTTGCTGAAGTGCTCTTAACAACGTAGATGCGCCATGCTTTCTCAAAAAGGATAATTCACGCGGAAAATTGCTTGCGATAGTTTTTCCCAACATCTGATCTCTTTGTGGAAGTACGGTACCGTACTGTTGCGGAACCAGTTCATTCCCCTGTAGAAGGTGAACCGATGCCAATTATGAGTATTGTGATCTCAAAACCCCTGTTCCGAAGGTGGCACGGCGCGATCCTAGATTGTTGTTCACAACAATAGAGTTCTCAGAAGGACCCAAAAGAAACAATTATTATTTGAAAAAATGGCGAAAAGTTTCATTTAGGACTAAAACGCAACCAGGTGCCCCACGTTAACTTTCCTACAGAGTTCCAATACGATTTCTGTCCTCATTGGAACAGGGTTGAAGGACGGTGACACTTCACTTCTTGATTAGCTACAATCAGCTGTGACTCTTCCTGCTGTCTGGTGCAAAATAATTAGGCTGCTAGAAAAATCAATTTCTCAAGAACAACAATGCTCCTTGAAGAAAACTCGTTCTTGTCAAAAAAAAATTGGAAAAAAGATGGTATATGTGAAGCAGTTAGAGTACATCAGTTTCTTCGGTATACTCTGTTTCCCGTTGCAGCACATGTCGTGATTGCAGACTTACGCAACGTCGTGACGCGACGTGGCAACGTAACTCACAGGCATCAGATGAATTCAAGGGCATCAAAACGCACAAGAAAAAACCCACAACTTCTCCCGGAGACCGCTACCACGTTCCGCGTCATAACTGCAGTTACGAACCAGACATTGTGATAGGACTGAAAGTGGCGTAGTGCTGACGCTGTGCTTCCGCTCAGGGCCTATATATAAAATCTTGGATCGTTCTCCGTTTAAGCAGTTCAAGCCCTCCAAACCTATGGGGTTGGGTAATTGGAACCAGAGCTATCATAGAATAAAAACCACCTAGATCGTACTTTATTTACCGTACAGTCATTCAATAGCCAATCGCAACAATACCCACGCAATCCACAGACTAAATGACAGTGACTGCCGCATCCAACTAAAAGGCACTACTCTATTAGCGCCGCTTCCTTTTTATCTATTGTGTAAAACATCATGCTGCTACTAGCTCCATTTAGAAACTGG